AAGGTTGCAGAGATAGCTTCCGGAGAGGTTCCATTCTACTATGTTGGGGCTGATGGAGGTTTAAGGTACAAGGGACGGTTAGTGGTACCTTCTGCTGATAATTTGAGGAAGGATGTGATGACTGAGACTCACCACTCTGAGTTCTCTGTTCATCCAGGAGGCGATAAGATGTATCAAGATATGAAGCGGCAGTTTTGGTGGGCAGGTATGAAAAGGGACATTGCTCTTTTTGTTTCTCAGTGTAGTACTTGTCAGATGGTTAAGATTGATCATCAGAGGCCGCCAGGAGCTCTACAGCCACTACCGATACCGGAGTGGAAATGGGAGAGCATATCTATGGATTTTGTGGAAGGGTTGCCAAATTCTTTCAAGGGGCATAATTCCATATGGGTCATTGTGGATAGGTTGACCAAGTCAGCTCATTTCTTGCCTATTTGCACTGACTACACTTCGAAGCAGTTGGCGAGGCTTTACATTTCAGAGATTGTGAAGCTGCATGGCATTCCATTGTCTATTATATCGGACAGGGATTCGAGCTTTGTATCTGGATTTTGGAAGAGTTTTCAGCAGGCTTTAGGTACGGAGTTACACCTTAGTACTGCTTATCATCCTCAGACTGACGGACAGACTGAGAGGGTGAATCAGATTATGGAAGATATGCTTCGGTCGTGTGTTTTGGATTTCAAGGGCCACTAGGAGGAATATTTGCCACTTGTGGAGTTTACTTATAACAATAGTTTCCAGAAGACTATTGGTATGGCACCATTTGAGGCATTGTATGGTCGAACGTGTCGATCACCTGTTTGTTAGATGGAGGTTGGAGAGAATCGATTCTTGGGTCCTGAGTTCATCAAGGATACCTCTGAAAAGATTGCTCTTGTTAAGGATCGCATGCGTACTGCTCAGAGTAGATAGAAGAGTTATGCTGATCGGCGTACTCGTGCTTTGGAGTTTTGAGTTGGAGATCAGGTTCTACTCAAAGTGTCACCTATGAAAGGTGTTATGCGCTTTAGGAAGAAAGGGAAGTTGTCTCCGCGGTTTGTCGGTCCATTCATGATTACGGATCGAGTGGGAGCTGTGGCTTATCGGTTGGAACTTCCGGATAACTTGGATTGCGTTCACAACGTGTTTCATGTTTCCATGTTGCGAAAATTTCTACGCGATGAGGATCGGTATCAGCATATCGATGTTGGGGAGATTGAGTTGCAGCTGGATGCAACTTATTTGGAGCCACCATGTCGTATTGTTGACCGTCGGGATCAAATCCTTCGCAATGAGGTTATCCCTTTGGTTCGTGTTTAGTGGAGTCATCACAATGAGGCTGAGTCCACTTGGGAACGGGAGGATGTCATTTGCTCGCAGTTTCCTGAAATTTTGGAAGAAGGTAAGAGCGAATTCCGAGGACGGAATTCCTTTTGTTAGGGGGGAAGAATGTAATACCCCTAATTTCAAAAGGATAGTCCCAGTATTGTTTTAATTAAATTATTAAATGGTGTTTGAATTTTAAATTGTTTAACTTGTTGATTGGTGTTTTATTTGCAATAATTGATGACTTGTTGTTTAATGGTGATTTTGTGAATTAAGTAATTATTACATTGTATTTTATTTTTCTGTATTACGTTAGATTGGACTTTATCATTTTCTTTAATTGAATTGATTATTAAATTTTCTTTAATTGAATTGATTATTAAAGGTTTTAATTTAGGAAGTAATTTAGGAAGTATTTTAATTAACTATTTTTCATAATTTAGGGTTTAGTTTCTTTAGCCGACACAGGTTTTAATTAAGTTCTATGGGCCGGTTAGGATTTAGTTAGGGCTTTAATTAATTTAGGGTTTTGGTATAACTCTATAAAGATATGGGTATACGTCTGCCGAGGGTTTCTGAAAATCCTATTCACCATATTCAGGTATACAGTGATACAGAGAGTTGTGAGGGCAGAGTAACAGAGAGGGAGTTTACGTACGTTACAGAGAGGGCATAGGAAGACAGATCAGGGGAAAACTGTAGAGACGGTGGATATCAGTTTCAAAATCTGAAACTGCAGGCAAGTCTCTGTTATTCTCTATCCCTTTAATTTGTGTTCTGTGCATGCTTAGGAAGACTCCAGGGATTAAACAAAGTTTTAATTACATCTTTTAAACATGTTTAATTAGAATATTGAAGCATTGAATAAATCCAATTTCAATTGTTTTAACAGTTCAGTGTTGAATCTTGTTATCGTTGCTTTAAAAGTTGATGTTTAATTAAATTCTAAGTTGTATAATTCTACCTTGTGATCAATCTGGGATGAGGATGGAACCTTAATACATGTAATATAACTGTATTCAATGTCTGGAAACCACCGGGGTCGGAGAAGACAAGCAATACAGGGGAAGCGGCTCTTAAGGGTGTGAGAGACGGCTCTCAAAAGGAGGGAGCCGCCTCCCACAAAGCTAGAGCCGGCTCTCTAGGGTTGAGAGCCACCTCTCAACAGCCTAGAGCCGGCTCCCAAGGGTGGGGAGCCGGCTCCCCTTTAATGGAGAAGGCTCTCCAAGTTTCAGAGCCTTCTCTCTCTTTAGTTTTTGCGCGTACTGAGTTGGAATGGACTGTTTGGCTGAGATTGAGTTTCTGAAACTGTTTCAAGGCTACTGAATGATGTAATACACTGCTTAAAGACTTATATATGAATTGGGAAGCAAGCTTATAACCAGGAATTTTGGATGGAATTAGCCTAGGTTTCAAAGTAAACCTGTATGGAGTGAGGTTAAACATAAATTGGTAATTGCTCATTGTTTTAGTAAGTTGGTTTCTCTGCATGTCTTGGAATTATAAATCAGGTTTTGTAGCTGGGTTATAAGCATACTGTTGTTTAATAATATGCATGCTTAGTGGGGATTAACTGATGATTAAATCTGTTATCAATTGTATCTATTATGACACTGTTCAGAGGAGTTAAGTGTATAGTTTTACTTTGCCATACTAATGGACTGTAATTGGGATTCAAATTCTTATAATGGATGCATAAATTGGTTATATATATGTTAAAATGTATATGTGCTTGCTTTGGGATTGGTTGATGATTATTTAATACTGTATTATCAACCGTATTAACTGGAGGATGGTATGTACCGGTATGGGACGGTGACATACTAGATATGGACTAGATTAAATACTAAGTCCTATCCAACATGGATTAAGGTATGGATTAATCATATAGGTTAAGTCCATCACCTACTTGTGTCATATCAATTGAGAATTGAATGACCTACTTTGGTTTCAGGATGGCTTGGTTATACATATATCAGACCACTACACAGATGGATGGTATTTTGTATTAGGAGGAGTACGGACTTTATATATATATTGTATGGTGCCGTGGTATGAGCTTGAGTCTCATGACCATGGTTAGGGTGCGTATATCGTCTAGGATGGATATCTGGACAGAGGTGTTGTTCCCTGGTAGGTCTAGATACACATGACCACAGTATGTGCGATTTGCATGGTATCTCTATTCAGGCTGAGACAATCCTTTTTGGATTAGTGAGCGTCCTATAGTGTGTACTATATACATATATGGACTATTCTAGATATTGTTGAGTCTTCCCAGGATGTATCTGCGTATCGGATTACTGTTTGGATTGTAGTAGATCAGGACTTGCATGTGGGCCTGACCCACTTCTTTATTTTTTAGGTACTCGTCAGTTCCAGGGTTAAAGTTTGGACGTGCAAAGCAGATATAGCTATTCATTCCTCCGATTATGTAGGAATCTTCTCTATGTTAGTTTTGGATTTTATTTTTATGGTTTTTCAGTAGCTTTTGGAGATTTTTAATAAGGGGTCCAATGGATGGATTCCCGAGTTGTAAACTTATGGTGTTTTGGATTAACATGTTTTAAGTATTTAATTATAAAGGATTTTATTTCTAGATTCTTTCAGCTTATTATTTTTAATTCTTATTTTATCTTGTATTCCATGTTCGGTTACATATTAATTGTTTGACATCCCTCGGGTTTGGGCCTGGGTCTGATCAACCCGTTTCTCGGATCCGAGGGGTATCACACTAATTGTCTATATAAAGGCCTGGTACGGAGACAACAAGAACGTTGCAAACAGAGTAAGAAAAATACAGTGCAAGCGAGGAATTGACGTGGTGCGCTGTGACAGTAGAGTTGTGTGAGAGTGACAAGGCTATTGAGTGCAGGAGCAGTGCGGGTATTTGAGAAAATGACGAAGAGAAAATAGTTGAGTAAAACCGGTGAACCAGTGCCGGAAGTACCACCGGAGGAGGAATGGAAGCGTGCTCCGTTTTTTGGACCAGTGGATAGGTTCTGGACGGCGACGGTGGACATGGAAGAAAAGTATTAATCTAGCATGTTTTTTAAGAAAAATAAAAATACCAATGTCATGGAAATCAAATACCATGAATGCATGCAAAAGCGGAATCAAATCCGAGCACAACAAGTGAGGTTATGCAAGGAAAAACGAAAAACGGAAAAAGACGAAAAAAGAAAATTGCCGAAAATGGAAAAGGAGGAAAAAAGACCGGGTCATTACACTAGGCAAATAATTGGTCTATTTTATCAATTGGGGTTTCCTTACTAAAAATCCTGATGTCATCTCTAACTGTGTTGCTTTGCTTTATTTTATCTTGATGTGATTAATTGACTAATTGTTAAAATAAGTAAAGTTAAAAAGATAGAGATTTGTTTCTAAAAATACAGAACTTTTCTAATCTTCTGCTGGATAAACTCACAAAAATATCAAATTAATATCTTAAAAAAATAACTAAAGAAAGAAAAATCATAATGCCTAAAATTGCCAATAGACTGGTTGATCAATCATGGCCACTGACCTAATAATTTCTCCTCTATTTTTTAAAACAAAAGATAATGTGTTCAAATAATAAATAAATAAATAAATAAATAACGGGTACTTGTATGAATAGAAAATTGGCAAGCTTGACTAAGTCTTCTAAATCAATGTTGTGCATGTATGAGCTAAAAAAACACTCAACCTAATAGTAGTAATTTAAAATTATATTTTTTAATGAAAAACGACTGCATTAGAATTACTTTGAATGTCCATAAATTGTTTACATTATTGTCACACAAAAGCCTAAGCTTGAGCCATCTTCTGCATTTCAAGCACCTTGGTCCATGCAGGCCGAGCAAGAATCTCAGCACACCATGCGCTCACACGAGGGCGCGACTCGATTAGCTTCTTAGCCTGTGTTCCCATCAGGCTCTGCAAGTTTGGAAGGTGAAGTAGATCTACGATGGTGTACTTGTCTGAAACCAAGTACTTGAACTTCGCGAGCTGAGCCTCGTACACGTCAAGGACTCGATCCAACTTGGCTTCTGCTTCCGCCACAACGCCTTCATCGGGCTCCAACCCTTTCCTGGGCTTGATTACCAGCTCAAATATCAGCTTAAGTGCCGGTGGCTCGAATTGGTGGTCCTCCACGTCCACCCAGTTAGCCACCACTGCTTGCTTCCTGGCATCCCAGTAGATTAGCTCTTCTCCTTGCTTGCCAAACTCATGGGCCGTGCTTCTTATTATTGCTCTAGATTCTGCAATTTATGGCTTAAGTTAGCAAATTAATAGTCCCTTTACATCAAAGAATTATTTGTACTCAAGAAGAGTCGTACTTTAGACCGTATACTCCTTAAAGCACCAGATCTGAGTAACTTACCCGTTTGAGCCGACTCATTAGGATTGATATATGACTCTTTTACAGTCTCGATCTAGTGCAAAATAAGTAAAAGAATTTGGGAGTACTAATCCTTGGGGGACAAAATTTTGCTTCCACAAACATCGGACAAGCCCAGAAAAAAGTTCTGCAGCACCTATTTGACGGTCCAATCCGATCAAAACTCATGTTCTGATTTCTTCTGTAAGTCTCGTATTAAACTCTTAGAAGTCTATTATTATTATTATCATTATTATTTTTTATTTTTTCTTTTTAAGTTATAGAGTTTTGATTGAACTTGTTCACATATTTTCCGGAACTATCTAATAATTTTTCGAGAACTATTTAATAATTTCTCTGGACAGAAGTTGAAGTAAAAAAATTGAGACATTTCTTGGGACTAGGTAGCTTCTTCTTACCAAACTGTTTGATGCCGCGGTCTTCGTATACTGGAACCTGACCAAATGGCTGTACAGTGGATACGAAACATATTAAAAATTTAATTAGACCCCCATAACGTACATGATTTTACAATAACATGCTACTTTTAATTATCACTTTTTTCAAAATTAATTAAACTGCAATGTTATGGTATATTACGAATAATAGTGTGGTCACTTTAATTCCATTGATATATATGTATATACACATTTTATTGGGTCAGATTACTTTCATGATTATTTTCAATCTCACCCTGTCAAATACATTTGCCTAGTGTAAATAGGGAGGTCAACGGAGCGAGTTTGAAACAGGACATTCTTTTCCAAATCTATCTCACCAATAAAAAAAAATTCTCAAACCCAATTCGAGACGCCCTGCATCAGAGTCGGGACGGGTTCGAGTGTCCCGATACACATCTATTTTTTAAGTAAAATAATTCAAACTTGAATAAATTTTAAGATAAATTTTGTATTGTATTGTATTTTTTTTTTTTTTTTTTGATAGTATAGCTAACAAAAATGTTACTAAAATTTAAAATTATTATAAGAAATAAAGAAAAAAGAAAATTTATAGCTAATAAAAAATATTTATTTATGTATGAATTATTAATCATGACGGGTTCGGGTTTTGCGGGTTTTAATCCCTCTTCCCAAACCTTCTATTAGAACGATTTTAAACCCGTCTCAATGGAGCGGGACAGGGCAAGTTAAATTGACTTCGTAAATGTAAAATGTTCTACAAAAAGAAGACTGAAAACGAATAATTGAAATTATAGGGGCAGTGTGTGAGTTTTTTGGCCAAGATTTAAAGAAAAATACGTAATGATAAAAGAAACAATAATATATATATATATATATATATATATATATATATATATATATATATATTATTTGCGCCAAAGGGAGAACTTACATTCATGGACAGAAAGGGCTGCTTTTTGTGCTCTCCAGCTTCAAGGTTGATCTGAACAAACTCAAAGTCTAGATTGTGCTCGAAAAGGCATGCCATGACCTTCAAGGTGGCCGGTGAGTTTAGACTTCCGTACACTTTCCGGGGAGCCATGACTGTCCGGCCCTGTCACAATGTAGCTTTTTGTAGTTATATTTCTGTTGATGGATGAATATATACTACCTAAAAAATAAAGGACAATGGTTAAACCTAATTTTTCATCTTTCAGTCAATATGAATGTCTGACATATATCCATTCAATAATATATATATATATATATATATATATATAAAGATATGTGTGTGTGATTTTGATTAGACGGGAGGAAATTAGGTGGGTGTCGTTGAAGTCACATGTCTAAGCCTTTGGGAAAGACAGATACGAAAATGATCAAAGTTGGTATATGGACCAACGCCTTTTTTGTAACCATGACAAATGGAATGATGACAAGAAGTGGTATAATGTGGTCCTCTCTATTATCTGTTACATTTTTATTTGGTCCAACGAATTCCAGAAGTGAGGAATAATTGTGACATATCGAGGAAAAAAATAATAAAAACTCTGATTTTATTTGTTTTCGATTAATTTGTCAATCATTACAATAAACACTTTAGGAGGAGATAGTTTGGCCAAGATGTAGCAACAAAATTCTCTCCCTCGTAGAATCGTAGGTAGACTTGAGATGTTCAAGTCCATGCAGCCAATCTTATTTGTCAAGATTTCATTTTTCTTTTTCTTTTGTTTTTTTTTGAAAGGTAAAGCAATTGTATATATAGTAACAGAAAATTTATAAGGCCCAATTCGAAGCCCAATCAAAGGATACAAATTAGCTCAATGATTATTGGACCAAAATTAAAACAGTGCCAAACATGGCTCACACTAGGGATTTGCCCTACGAAAGCCCAGTCCAACACTATATACACTATAGACCCATTGTTACATCAAGCGGCATCTGGTGGTTGTGGTGGTGGTGGACGAAGCAGCGTCTGGTGGTTGTGGTGGTGGACGGTGCCAAAGATGTGTCTTCCAGTCAGCGAGAAGGTCGGATAGCCCATCGTTGTGTGAAAATAGAGCAAACCCTCTCAGGAAGTTGGACGTTCTACCAATTAAGGCACTGGGTAATGCTCCTAAGGTAAATCTTATGGAGTGGGCCTCAGAGCAGTAAAAATAGCTTGGGACAGTGTGTGAAAGACCAAGAAAGAAGGTGGATTGGCATTCCCGGTTTAGACTTCTGGGATTGAAGTTGCATTCACAGACTTATATGGTTCCTTTACAACTGATTCTACTCAAAACATTTTGTCTCCAACTGATTCATCTTGAAGAAATGAAAGATTAGTTTGCATAAAAGGTAAGAGACAACGAAAAGGTCAAAATTAACATATAGAATGAAGTAATTATAAATATCTTTAAAAAAATTAAATACTAGAGGAGACAAAATATAATATAATTGACTAGAAAAAGAGATTTCAATGTGACCAACCCATTGACCCATTTGGTTTCTGTACATTTTTAGATTTTGTTTCTTTCGACCGGGAAACATCTTCTCTAAAAAAGAAGATTGTGGGATGTCAAAATTCCTTCTATTTGTTCATGGTAGTGACCTACAACAGGGATATCGCTATCCTTTTGATCCAACACAAGATTACAAATGGAAGAAATTATTACATGATCACAGGACCATTGGTTCCGAACGAATCACCATGTGGCACATCAGTAAACGCATCAGAAATGTGTAAATTTTAATATATAACATCCACGGGAAGACTGTAACACTGAAAATTTCCAATTACAGACGCACATATAGATATATATATATATATATATATATACAATTTTTTTTTTTTCTTCCAAATTTTTAATGTAAGATAAACCAGTAACAACATTTGCTCATCTATAATAATTTACAACACAATGTACCCCCACCCCATCCTAGGAGAGGAGGTTCAAACAAAAGGCAAAGAATAAACTTGTGTGTATAGCCATAAAAAAGGATATACAGATACAAAGCTCTCCATTAGAGAGCACCTTCATGCACAACGAAGATGTGATATTCTAGCTAGGTCATCTTCGCACCAGTAAAACGGTCAGACTGATACATACTACATAAACTTCAAAGGAATATAACAGAGAAAACTCCGCATCACAAAGCTTCTTCAGGTTTAAGGAAGTTGTGATATTCTAGCTGAGTCATCTCCCCACCAGTCACTGGGTCAAACTGGCATCGATAGAAGCTGCATAAAAGTTCGATAGAATATAAATATTCTGCTGAATATGTTCACAATTCTTGTAAAAAAAAAAAAAGAAGATAAAAAGGCAAAAGGAAATAGAATTATGTGTGCACACTCGCATCTGTCATTGAGAGAGAATATAAACAAAAAGTAGAGGAAATTATGTGCTACTTTGGCTAATCTCCTTCTCATAAGCCACATGTTACCATTCTTTCCAACTCATACAGTAGGCTGGTCTTGTTAGAACAAATAAAAAATAAAAAAAATGCTGCAATTCAGCGGAAACCATTTTATATTCCGAACACACCCTAAATGGTAGTAAGTTCATTGTCATTCTACCAAAATATTACTCCTAAAGGTTAAAAAAAAAAAAAGTAACATAAACACTAAGATGCTTCTACAACACTACATGGCTATATTAAATCACGTAAAATTTGATATTCTCTTTCCTGATAACTCACCTTCCATCCAAGCCAAGAATTACTAATGTATTCTTTTGGTGACCAAATGCAATGATGTATTGAGAACCTTCAAGCAAACGAAACTTAGCCACAGACCACTCTGAGCTGAAATACTTGGGCAATACTCCTGTCAATGAAACACTAAACCATCAGATCCACACTAAACCATCAAATGCAAAAATATGCAAGTTTCTGTTGGCATAAAACATAAATACTCATTGCTAGTTTTATGGTCCATCACATCCAAAGTACTGAACCTCGCTATCTATCGATCATCCCCGGACCCCAGCTATAAGTCAACTAACCATGGGAAACATATAAACACTAGTAGCATGCAGATACAATAGCAGATCAAACCTTACAAGAGAATAAGACCATATCCCTGCTCTCATTATCACTATTTGGTATAATTCCTAGTACATTTTCAAGCTGACTGCATATTTGGAGCAGAGGATATGGTCTGTAAGGTTTCACCAATTAACTGTTGAGACTTGAGGGATTCAAGACTTCCAAGTTTTTTTTTTTTTGTCCGGTAAGTTTCAAGACTTTCAAGTTGATCCATTAAGAATATATACAATAATTAAAACTAATGAAAGTTAAAAGCTGTTAAGAGAATCATTTATAAAGTGACTAATTAACCATTACTACAAGAATTCCAAGCGCTCATTTTGTATTTTTTAAATTTAATTATTATTTTTGAAGTAGGAATTCAAAAAGTTCATGATGAGACTGATTTGGACATTTGCCAGGTCTGTCAATGACTTTAAATCTAAAGGAGTAAAATGAACGTGCATTGCACGTTATGAGAAACGATTGTAAATTTTTTTTTTTACAAATTGCTTTGGATACAACACTTTGTCCAATGTGATAATGAAATTAATTTTATAATCATACAATGTAAAAAACTGCTACATGTGTGCGTAACACCAAAACCACACAAGCATTCTTCCAAGTCATATACTTTCGTAGTTGCTTTCACTCCACCCAATTTCACAATTATATAAACATGGTTCTTCAACTTATTAAAATTTTATGAAATGTTACAAGACATGGAAAAGAAGTTACCAAAATTTACATGCCAGGTAGTCTAAGAGATTAATATCCTCAATCCCGTCTACACCATTATTTGGAGGAATATTTGTAAAAGGATTCAAAGGTTGTTGAAAATTTCAAAATGCTGAATAAACAAAATGTGTGATTGATATTTGCACTGACAAGAGATTAATTTAGAGCCTGTGAGAACAATTTCCAGTGCACTCGAATACACAAAATAAAGACATAACAGCAAATACTAGTTACATATGAACTATGGTGATAGTTCAAAGTAAGACAAGTTGGACAAGGAAAAATATTCCATATCATACTGGTGTTAGAACCCAACATTGTTTTTTCTTATATAATTTTTCTCTCTACAATTAATTTCCATAAACTAATGCAAGCAGAAGACACCTCTCTCATTTTTGTTCAACTGATCATTAAATTGATCAACTGCCAAGACCCACCATAAGAATTCGGCTTCAGAGTTTTCAATTTTAAGTCTGTGAGAACTTAACTCCCAAAACCCACCACAAAGAACTGGAAATTGATTTTCATTCCAGTGAGAAAGATTTCCAATTTAGTTTTATGCATGCAAGGGATTTCAACAAAGTAAATACAACAACAACAAAAACAATAATAATAATATTAATTAATTAATTAATTAATTAATAATTGATAACTAGCATACACACAAAAAAAAATGACACCACTAAATTGAAAAAATGCATGAAACTATTGAAATTATTTACCATATACAAAATTGAAGCATACATGAGACTGTTGAAATTACATAGGCTTTCAAACTTCAAACAAGGAGTGAGGGGCCTGGTGGAGTTGGAGTTCATTACCAGTACAATTGAAATCTTTCTGAAAAGTAGAGAGAAAAAGAATAGTTGGAGTTGAACTTTGTTATGATTTGTTTATATAATTCAGAACTGACAGTTTCCAATCAAGGTGTAGTTTTTTTATCATTTTTTTTAGTATTAAAAACTACACATTGATTGTTTAGTGTTTACTTTTAATTAAAAGGTAATAGCAACTTAATTTAAACAGGTGGTTTAATTTAATAATTGCCAACCATTACGTTTATTTTGTCATAAAACGAAATCTAATAAAAAATAGTAAATGATTTAATTTTTTATTAAAAAAAAAAAAAAAAAATTAAAAAAGGAAAAGAAAAACAATTCTCTATACGAGCTAATAAAATTTAAAAAGGTAACTTGAGGCATTTAGTTTGAAAAGGTACACCAAAAAATTAATCTAAAAGACGTGATCTAATTAAATTGTTAACTCTAAGCCAACTATTATGTAGTTTAAAATGAAAATATTACTTAAAAATGCATTAAAATGTATATAACAGTATCAACGTTTATAAATTACTATAGATAACTCAAGTGAAAGTTCATTGACATCACTGAAGGTTTAATTCGTCCTCCACTCCCATCCCCACCCCCTCCCAAAAAGAAAATAAAATAAGGCAAAAAAAAAAAAAAAAAACTTACAGAACCTTTGTTTCGACATTAGGAAATTAGACCACTTTCAAGGCCTCATAAATATAAGACAATTGCAGTATGTTTACATTACATTCCATTTGAATTAAAACATTTACTTCCATAACACTTAATCTGAATCTACGCCATTGTAAGATTTCATTCTGAATGAAAACATTCCACGTTTATAACACTTCAGGGGTCAGGTGAATCTACATCCTTGCCTATGTAATATTATATATATATATTGAAAAGTAAAATGTATTAGAAAGCGTTCAAACGAGGAACGCGTCCCAACTCCCAAGAGCTATACAGAGGCCGAAGCCAGAGACAAGGACCTAAGGACCCACCGAACCCAAAAAATCAATAAACTCATCAATGGATATACAATTTCTCCCCAAAACCCAACTAAAAAGAGAGCTAATAATATGAAACTTCAAAAATTATATTCAGTATTGTTTAGTAAGAATTGATTAAATTTCCATCCAAAATTATAGTGACATCCTGTGTGATTCCCCCAATTCATTAGATATAATTGCCACATATTAGATGGTAGAAACAAAACAAGTGATTCCAAATCAAAATACTGTGTCTCTAATTATAAGAATATGCAATGTGAGAAACTAAATAAATAAATTGGAAATAAAAAATATAAAATAGCCACTAGACTTATTAAATATGGCACCTAACCTTTCATGAAAGAGAGAGATGAGTTGGATGTTGTAACGGTGGGACTGGGATCAGATGCACCATTTGACTTATCATTCCCCAGGTTTCCCAAATTAGCCTTCAGGCTAAAAACATGGATAGTACCCTTATCACTTGAGACTCCTAGCCACTGGGCAGTTGAAGAAAAAGCCAAGCTATAAATCTCTGCTCTATCTGCACCCCTCCTTACCTGCATTAAATATCCAGCTGTATTTAGAGAACCTACAATCTTAAACCCGCAAATAAATTAAGCAAAGAAAAGTATATGACAACTTTGCTCTCTTACAAAAAGAAGCAAGCCCTTCTCATTTCGAAGATATAGAGAAAAGAGGAGCAGGCCAGTTTTCTCATATTTTATTGACACTTGAAAATAATAACACAAACGAAAACAAAACAAGACGGTTATGCCGAGGGTGATGGATGATGATAATAAAGGCAGTGAATGATTTTTCTTTGCCTTTTTCTTTTCAACTGCAAAATAATTATGTTCGACTCTGAACCGTCAAAAACAATTACCATGTTCAGGTAAATTACATGTGTTGCAGAAAACCCCCAACCCCTAACCAAAGGAAAAGATGCAAACTACCCTACAGAGTTTGGCTGCTGTTAACATGAATGTAAACGTACTAATTTATCCTTCAAGTGAAAAGAAGAACAAGTTGCAAAAAAAACCCTAAACTATAATTTTTATTTTTTTTATTTTATTATTTTTCGGGAACAAACCCCCTTGAACTATTTTTGAGCCAAAAGCCCCTCTTTATCTCTCAAAATCATGTAAAAATCCCCTTCCTATTAGATGACCATCAAGTTTCTGTTAATTTGTAACAAGTAATTACTGAAGCTAGTAATGAGTTTGAAAAAAATAATATTAATTTTAATACATAAAATACCAATAGGGACTCAAGTCAATTAATTACATTCAATATGACACTCTTTTGTTTGCAGTTGTTATTCGTATCTTATGTATTTAGTCTATTTTATTTTATTTGAGTTCATAATTAGGGCCATTTTGGTAATTTCAAATCATGAAACAGTGGTTGCCAAATGGCAAGGGGTCATTTTGCAAGATTGATGTGTGGGTTTTGGCTCAAAAAACAGTCAAGGGGGTTTGTTGCAAAAGATTAAAAATTCAGTGGTGTTTTTTGCAAAAGAGTAATTTTGTCATTATCAAAGTCATGTAATGAACAAACACCATCCTAAGGAAAGGAGTAATTTGCTAAAACATAACAGTAAAAGAGGGTTTAATGTGAAATCGAAAGTTCAGGGAGGTTTTATGTATCTTGAGATATATAGTTCAGGGAGTTTTCTTAAATTTACCTACAATGTTGTTGTAATCATTCTAACAGGCATCAACAAGTTCTGGATAATACCCTTGAAAGAGGAATTTCTAACCAACACTAACCATGCATGTTCCTCCACTCATGGTAGCACAAAATACACTTTGCCAAAAATAGGCTAAATCAAAAGTTTGCAAACTCAAAGGCGAGTACAGATATAGTACTGGAAGGTGAGAAAAAGAGTAGCATAATTAACCCAGTCCAATGCCACCATAAGTTTAAATCAAGAACAAAAATGTAATCCGAAAAAAAAAATAAAAAAAATAAAAAAATAAAAAATTCTTTGTACCAGTCTATATGAGTTAAAAAGAAAAGGAAAAATCTTTATACAGTCTATATGATTTCAAAGACCAATTTATTAGAGGAAGAATGATTGCTATATGAAATGTTATGAGGAATTATATACAAAAAATCACTAATTCAAAACGACTGCATTAACATATGATCCAAGTCATATAACGTTCGATATAAAATTCTGAAAGATGAAAATATCAGCAATATGGATTAAAGATTTTGAACTTGCCTTATTTATCAAAAAAAACTATGATTTTGAGCCTGCCTTGTAAAGATTTAAACCTGCCTTTATCCCGGTTGGGGTATTATTATTATTATTATTATTATTATTATTGATAAGTAAGAATATATTAGAAAGCATTCAAAAGGGAAACTTGAGCTTTAGTTGTCCCCTCATCTCGTCACACCCAATCGAGTTGCACCCCTAGAAGAAATTAACCAAAAATGTTTATGAACTCTCAAAAACAATGAAACGCCACAAACACTTTTAAAAATACATATATTTACACACACACACACACACACACATATATATACATGTGTGTATATATCAATAAGCTCACCATTTAAGGGTGCATGATTGCATAGTTACTTTCCAATCAAAGGAATTCTTCAAAGAGCATAGGATAAGAATCTAGTAGAAAACCTACTATAATCACAAAGCTTCTATAGCTAAACAAATAAGACCAATCCAACAAAGAATCCAAATACAGACATTTCAGCTAAAACCCATAACCCATGTGAATATGATAATTTGTCACAAAGCCAAGAATTCAAGCTCAATTCAATATAGCTATAATTTTCAAATTCAATCCAGGAAACAATTATAAGATTTCCCAATACAAAACAAATGTAGTTGAGCTGCTAAAAAAGGGTCACATACCTCTTGCAATAGTGTTCCATCGTATGTATTGAAAATCCTCACCAAAGTCCCTTTAGTGCTAGCTGTGGCAAGCAATTGCCCGTCCTGCGTGAGAGCAAAGCACGCAATCCTTGAATCGTGAGCCATGATAAACTTTGTCCGCATCGAGCCGTAATGCTCAACCCTAACCTGCCCCTTCTGCAACCCAGGACAAACCAGCACCAGCGATCCGCCCACCTGCGAAACCACGCAAAGCCCCTTGGGATTCGCAATCGTCTCAATCTGATGCAACAACTTCAAGTCCGAGAAATTGTAAATGAATATTTTCTGCTCCAGAACCACCACAATTCGGTCACGCCGAAGCCGAATACCCCGAACCTCGGACCGGAACGATAATTCCCCGATGCACCGGCTTTGGTGATCGTCCCAAATCATGACCTTGTTGGGAGGAAACTGAGAATCAGGACCACCGCCGACCAAGGCAAGAATGTTGCACCGGAAGAGCATCTCGACGCCTCCGATACCGCCTCCGTGATCGAAATCGCGGCGGAAGATCTCACGAAACGGGTCACAATTGTAGATTCGAAACCCGCGATCGGTGCCGGTGGCGAAACAACCCTGATCTTGATTGAACGACACGTGAAGCAGTGACGGCGATGAAGGAAGAGAGAGGCAATCGTGGAAGTGAGGGCTAGGGTTTTCGATGACAGGATGACTGTGAGGTGCTTCATCTTCCTCCTCGTCTTCAAAGTGTTGGTCTTGGGGTTGTCGTGTGGTATGGGATGGAAACATTGAATTGGAATCGGTTGAGCTATGAGAGAAATAGGTGTTTTCGGGTTCGGGATGAGAGAGAAAGTTGGAATTAGGGTTAGGGTTTGCCCAAAGAGGGGACGATGACAGTGGAGAGGTAGTGGCCATGGAAGGAAGTAAAAAGGATATCGTAGGAATTTGGAAAGAGTTTAACGGTGTCTGAACTATCCATGAACGCGAGAAATGCTGACTTCTAATATGAAATTACCTTGTTGTCCTCTAGTTCTTAATCTTTATTTATTATTCGTTGATTTGGGGGCACGTAAGGTCTTTTAAAATGCATATCAACAAAAAACGACTTGGCTTCGTCCCAACGCAACATTCAATCAGTGTTGGCGCTCGTTTCGCATCTCTCTGTCAGTTTCGAACTTTAGGGGGTATTTATTTAGTGTATTTATTTACCTAGCTTCTGTTTGGCCAAAAGAATTCCGTCCGTCCACTTGGAAAGGTGGAAGGTGCAGGCGTATCAAAATTCGTCTAAGGAAAATGATATTTGAGCCTATTATTTTGATAAATTTGTTAGGCAGAAACACGTGGCTGTCCAGTTGCCAAGTCCCTTAATTTCTCTCTCCTCTCTCTTCTCTCTCTTCTCTTTCTAACAAACCTATTTTTTTCGTATCGGTTGGGTCTGTGAGATCAGCGGGACAAGGTTGTTGCACAGAGTCCGACAAGGACGAAGACGGAATGGACCGGTGAGCAAAGATGGTGCAAAGAGCATGGAACGGCGGTGTAGCGTTGGTGATGAACCGTCAAGCAAGGCGGTGCAGAGAACTTGGAGGACGGCAACCTTGGTGATGTGGTGATGGCAGTAAACAGACAGTCGGCAACGGGGCTAGAATGACCTTGAGCAAAAGAAGACCCCACTGGCGACGATGAAGGAATAGCCCAACGCAGCGACAGCAGCGACTAGAGAAGTTGCTATTTCGGCGAAGGGCAGGATAACGGTGAGATGGACAGTGAGGATGAAGACAGGCTCGGCCGATGGAGTACTTGGATGTGGATGACTCAGCCGTGAGCTTGCGGCTTCGGATGATGGCGGTCGGCAAGCAAGGAGAAGCTTGGTTGTGAGATTCTCGGTGGTGAGTTCAGCGAGGATGAACTCGGGCTCGGCTGAGGATGATCTGACCGGCGATGGCGATGGGCCGGCTATGATGGAGCCATGGCAGAGAGCTCAGATGGTGGAGAGATGGCAACGGTAAGCTTATACGACGGTGAACTGTAACATAGAGGAAAACAAGGTCAGAGTTGATTGCCATTTGGCTTCGGCAAGAGCTAACCAAAAAGAGGCGATGAGGGTCTGGAGATTCGCTTGCCCGAGGAGTGATGATGGTTGCAGGCGTGGAAGTGGCACTGGTCTGACAAGTTATTGCGTGTGAAACGACTGTTGTGTTTAGCCAGCCGAGTGATTGATGTCGATTATGGCTGTGTGCAAGGATTCCTTAACGGTAAAAAGAGAGAAGAGAGAGAAAAAGAGGAAAAAGAGGGAATCCACTCTATCGAAGAAAAAAAATGCTTACCTGTACTGCCATGTGTATTCTGCTAAGCTAATCGACCAAAATGACTGGCCCATCTATCACTACCCTTCGTCTAAAATCCAATAGAATTGGAATAGAGCCAAACTATATTTCAAACCTGGCCGTGAGAGGCCTGAAGTTCAGGCGATTATGGAGTGCTTGGAATGACTGCTCTCGTTAGGTTCTTTTTGCCTTTGTGGAAAAGGACTTCGGAAATGGAAAGAAAAGGAAAAAGATGGAATTGCTTGGTGAAAGTGCTGCTGGAAGAATGGAAAGAACTGAACTAAATTGAATTTAAACTAGGAACTGAAATGCAAGTGCTGGAAATTAAAGGAATTGAAATATATGTGCGGAAAATTAAAATGCTTGAAAAGTAATTATTACATTAGGAAAAGATAAAGTAAAGATCACGCATCTTTCCAACTGCAAGTAACTACTTTCTTCTTTGGCTGACACGTGTCCCATTCAACAACAACTTTTTAATTGTGGAAAACTGCTTCTTTCTCTACCTGCCACATGTCCACTTAGAAAGTCATACATCTTTCCAACTGCAGGTAACTGCTTCCCCCTTTAGCTGACACACGTCCCATTCAGCAACAACTTTCCAATTGTAAAAAACTAATTCCTTCTCTGCCTGCCACGTGTCCACTTGAAAAGTCACACGTCTTTCCAACTACAGGTAACTGCTTCCCTCTTTGGATAACACGTGTCCCTATGCAATTACTTATACCAAGTGGCTTCCTTAATGAAGATAAGTGTCGTTTCATGTTTGCACCTTATTTGTATATTACTCTTCTAATTCGAAACGTTCACCCTTCCAATTGGAAAACGCTCACCCTTCCATTAGGATCGACCACGACAACCCTTCCAACTATTCGATAGTTATTGTATAAACATTGCCCCCTAAATTTTATGTGTCTGATATTCTCTGAAGAATAATAACGCATGTAAAATTTTAGATTATGAGTGAGAATTTGGCATGTAATACTTCTATTGGGTGAGGAATGGGACAACTAAAAATTTTCAGCCTATTATTTAGGCCGAAAGTTGTAATCTTGAGAACTTGATACCTTTTATCCAATTCATTGCCCCCCGGGGTCTGGAGGTTTACAAAGAGGAGGAATTTGTACATCTGCCAGCCAACTATATAGTTGATTGGTCATGCTTTTCCCCCAAATGCCACTAGAAATGGGTTTAGGTTTGGCTAAAGGTTGTTCCTCCATCGAGATTTCTTTGGAGGTGGTTGTCCTTCAAATGTTATTGGAAAGGCCATAGGTGGCCTTGGTGGCGTGGTTACAAATTGTTGAATGCTCACAAATGGAATATTCTGTTAGACATGAGATGGAGGTGCTGGACTATTGTTGGTGGAAGATGTTGTACTTGGAGTGGAACCTGCACTTGCGGTAGAAGTGGTTGAACTACTATTGGTGGAAGGTTCTGCACTTAGGGTTCCATTTGAAGTGGAACCTAAATTGGTGGTGGTTGTGGTTGCACTACTGGTGGAATCGGTGCCTAAGGTGGTAGTAGTTGCTGAGCACGTGGACGGGCTCATATATGCTATTGGGACCTTTCCTATTCTGTTATTGCATTCCGAAAACATTCTTGGAACTTTTCTATGAGTTCGTATAAATATTGCTCACGTTCTTCAGTAATAAATAGGCTAGAACTCATTGAAATTCTTCTTCCATCCATTATCTCCAATTTCTTTAATCAGTGGTGTTCGGCTCGCGAGAAAGCGCTTGTTCTGCTTTCCGGATTGGGTGGAAATGTGGAATAATATAGTATGAGTTGCGGGCGTGCCAGGAACTGCAATAGTTCCAAAGTAGAAATCCGAACGGTTATCCAGTTGGAAAGTTGCAGGGATCAGGCGATTCTACGAAGGTCTGGAATGACCACCTTCAAAGGGTCTTTTTTACCTTTAAATAAGGACTTTAAACTATTCTATGGCTAATGGAAATGAAGACGGTATTGAAGTGCAAGTGATTAAATTTAAGGTAATTGAAATGCAGGACTTGGAATGTAAGAAAGGAAGTGCGAGTATTGAAATTAAAGAAAGGAAGTGCAGTGCTTGGCTTGAAGTAACAAAAGGAGTACAGGACTAGAAATTCATCGCATGGAATGAAAGCTATATTCATATATATGTGTCATACCACGTTCCTTCTTTTCTGCAAACCACGTCTCCTTGATTTTGCAACTTCTCTCAACCAAACTTCCCTTTCTGGGCTTGAAATTCATGACGCCAATGACTCCATAATTTCAGCAACTGCATCATCATGGGTAGCATTCCAGAATATATATATATATATATATATATATATATATATATATATATTTATACACATATGTATAGATATATATCCAGAAATATATACTTCCTATTTTAAACTATCACCCACTTCCTTTTTCTTCTATAATGTTGCCGACTTAACTGAAGTAGTTGTTTGGATCTTCCTAAAAACAAGGAGAAAAATCCATCCTCACGTTCCCTTCTCTTGACTTAAATAGAAAATATACATTTAATTGGAATCCTAATAAGAATAGGATCTTCCAATAAATTTAACTTTAAAAGAATTATTCTGCCGTGGCAAGTTCAGTTAAACTCACCACATGTCGGTGAATCATTGGTTGGTTAGTCTTTGTCTTGAATATCCCTATGAGGTTGCACTCATGATAGTAACTTCCATGCCACCTCTTTATACCTTTTAGGACATTATATCTAAAGTTGGTAAGTCCTTACTAGGACTCATTACCTCTTTTTAATTAGTAATTCCACGTGGTGGAATTTTATCCTGACCAATCACTCTTCAAATGAAACTATATAGTTTCAATCTTCCAAAGGAGTGTTTTGTCAAGGTTTCACTCCAGCGTGGCAAGTCCTACTGGAACTCGCCATGTACCTCTTCTCTATTGGTAGACCATACCGATAATTCTATATCATACTTCTCCCTTCTTGGTGAATTAGAGTATTAATTCGGTGTGGCAAGCTCATTGGAACTTGTCACCTGTCGACTTTCCACTAGGCCAAAAATAATGGTGTAAACATATGCCCCCCAAATTTCATGCCTTGTGGAAAAATTTTATGACAAGGCATGGGATTTGAACCTTTGCCATCACGACCCACTTAATCTTTAATATAACCATCATAATCATTCAACCTTTAGCGATTCATACAGCTGGCCTCACACCAATTTCTTTTGCCGTAAATTAAAAAGATATCGTATCTTACAAAATCCTATCTATTTATAGCACCCCACAAAATTGCACTACTTCCTTCTTTTTGAATTTCAAAATTCCACCTAAACCCCTCTAAATACGTCCTTTGATTCTTGGAAACCCAATGACAATCCTTAAAAGGAAAACTTCTATGTAACACGTGGCTGCTCCCTCGACCTCTTCTACAACAACCCCATTAATTCCACATTCCATCAAGAAACTTATCCATTTATGGCACTAAATTATCAGACTTCCCAATCCTTGATATTTAAATTTGAAATTCTCCAGCTATCCACCCTTAAAAGGCGTCCTTGGATTCTTGGAAACTCCACGTAATCATTATATCTAATAAAATCTTCTGCACATTATTCGGCTGGTTCCTCGATCTTCTCTATACCATTCCCTTCTGTTGCCAAATGAAGCACATTCTATGTTCCTATAAAACTCCTACCCATTTACAGCACTAAACCATCTATCTTCCAAAAATCTTTGAAACTTCCCTTTTAAATTTCGATAACCCCAACTACCAATCCTTGAAAATCGTATTTGAACTTTAATACCTCCTTCATTGTTTCTATATATACATCTTCCA